TAATAGAAATATGTGTTCGTAATTATGAAAGTGGTCTAAAGTTCAAATTTAAAAACAAAAAAAAATGAGATCATCAATTTTTTCACGGTACATTTATTTGAAACTAAATTAATTCAATGTAATTTTCATACGATATTGTTAAAAATGAAACTTTAGATAATGTTTATTTTTTCAATATTATATATAGAATTCATTTAACGTTTGAATGCAATTCTTTAAATATCTTGAAACAAGATATATATATGACTTTAAATCATTTTCATAATTATAGACACATATATTTATGAATTTACAATTATAGAAAAGAATAAAAATCTATTGATAGGATAACATTATTATATACTTTTAACGTTGATGATTATCATCATTTTTACAACAGCAACAACAACAACAACAAACAATAAACTTATCGACTCTCAACGTAGTATTATAATATAAAATAGAAATTTAAAAAAAAAGTATAATATAGTTGTGTAGTAGTAGTAGTAGTAGCAGCAGCAATAGTTTTAACGAAAAAATGTTAACGTAAGTTTAAAAATGTTTAAGTTTTTTGCAATGAGAACAAAACAGGGCCCCCATAATTATTATTCATTATTCTCCTGTCTAGTTTTTTCCCTACGTTGCGTTTGTTGTTTTCCACGTTGTGTAGAAGAAGAAAAAGAAATAGAATTGTTACTGTGAGCTTTTTTTTACCCTAGGTAATAGTATTAGTATTAGTAGTAAGTGTAGTAGTGGTAGTACAACAATGTTAGAATACCCTCGATTTATAATGAAATCAACGAACGTGAGAAAGATAAAATGATTTGTCGTTGAAGGAAAAGAGAAAATTCGAACGTGATGCGAAAGAGGTGTGGGGGTGGGTGGTTGGGTTTGGGGACAGGGAACCAACCCCTCTTCCCACCCATCATTTTATGCAAATAAAAATGACATTTGATTTCCCCGCGGTCTTTCTTTCTCTTTCTATTTTTTTTTTGTTTTTTCTATTTTTCTCTTTCCTCTTGCATTTCACCCTTCTATTTTCACCCTCTTCATTCTCATTCTCGTCAACACATCAACGTTGGACGGACGATGTTGGGTCCTCGAGGATAGAAAATGAACGAAGCTTTTGTTCTTTTCCTACTACCATCACCCAGTTAAAAACTTAACTAACACATTTCGAGGACAACTTTTTCTACGGAAAGAGAAAGAGAGAGAGAGTGAGAGAGAGAGAGAGAGAGAGGGAGAGAGAGAGGCGTTCGTTTGTATTTGTATAAATGAGAAATTAGAAATAATTAAATAGCTCTCGTGGTTTTATTTTCATTGGAATTGTATACAATTAGTATTTTAAGATGCCGTGTATAAAATATAATTAATCTAGTAATTTTATTTTTATTATTATTTCGTAGTTTCTTTCTTTTCTTTTTTTTCTAAATGATTAAATATAGAGTCTTTGAAAAATAGAAATAGTATGAGATACTATTTCAAAAGATTACTCACTTTAACTAACAAGGTTAATTATATTGATGGTAAAGTATTGTTTTATTAACTATTATTTCCAAATTTTTTTTTGTTTATTTTTTTTTTGTAATAACATATAGTTTTTGAAACGAAACAATATGAGATACTATTTCAAAAGATTATTCGTCTAATACAGCAAGGTAAAATTATTAATAGTAAATTATTACAGACTCCACACATTAGTTTTATTTTTATTATTATTTCGAAGTTTCTTTCTTTTCTTTTTTTGTAAATGATTAAATATAGAGTCTTTGAAAAATAGAAATAGTATGAGATACTATTTCAAAAGATTATTCACTTTAACCAACAAGGTTAATTATTGATGGCAAGGTATTATTTTATTAGTTTTATTTTTTATTATTACTTCCAAATTTCTTTCTTTTTTTATTTTTTTTTTTTAAATAACATATAGTTTTTAAAAAGAAACAATATGAGATACTATTTCAAAAGATTACTTACTTTAATCAACAAAATTAATTATTGATGGTAAAGTATTATTTTATTAGTTTTATTTTTTACTATTATTTCCAAATTTCTTTCTTTCTTTTTATTTTTTTTTTTTGTAATAACATATAGTTTATAAAAAGAAACAATATGAGATACTATTTCAAAAGATTACTCATTTGAACCAACAAAGTTAATTATATTGATGGTAAAGTATTATTTCATTAACTATTATTTCTAAATTTCTTTCTTTTTATTTTTTTTTTTTAAATAAGATATAGTTTTTAAAAAGAAACAATATGAGATACTATTTCAAAAGATTATTCACTTTAACCAACAAGGTTAATTATTGATGGTAAGGTATTATTTTATTAGTTTTATTTGTTATTATTACTTCCAAATTTCTTTCTTTTTTTATTTTTTTTTTTTAAATAAGATATAGTTTTTAAAAAGAAACAATATGAGATACTATTTCAAAAGATTACTTACTTTAATCAACAAAATTAATTATTGATGGTAAAGTATTATTTTATTAGTTTTATTTTTTACTATTATTTCCAAATTTCTTTCTTTCTTTTTATTTTTTTTTTTTGTAATAACATATAGTTTATAAAAAGAAACAATATGAGATACTATTTCAAAAGATTACTCATTTGAACCAACAAAGTTAATTATATTGATGGTAAAGTATTATTTCATTAACTATTATTTCTAAATTTCTTTCTTTTTATTTTTTTTTTTTAAATAAGATATAGTTTTTAAAAAGAAACAATATGAGATACTATTTCGAAAGATTATTCATCTAATATAGCAAGATAAATTATAAATAGTAAATTATTACACACTCCACACATTACTTTTAATTTTAACAAATTATTATCTTTTCTTTTCTTTTTTTTTTTTAATGAGATAAAGTCTTTTAAACAAAAAAATCTAGTATTAGATATTGAATTTAAATCGATTACTCACCTAGACAGCAAAGTATAAGAAATACTCCGGCAATGCGCCAAATGCAATTTCTCCTCGAGTTCATTTTATCAAAATTCAAATCTAGTCTTGAATTAAAAACGCACACTCACATATACACAGTTTAAAGAAAACACGTGCTCGCGCGCGCTCGTAACGATAATAATAACGAATAAATCTAATAAAATTTCTAACACTTTATTCCAAAAAAAAAAAAAAAACGAAAAACAAAAAACAAACAACAAAAGGAAAAAATCCTAAATATTAACAATCTCTCCGATTAACAATAATTATATATACATAAAAAAAAAAAAAAAAACAAAGAAAAAGAAGAGAACGTATGTAACCGGGATTTTTTTCAAGAGTGTGTTGTAAAATAAGAAGGAGACTCCTCCTCATCGTAACGGAGTCCAAACGGAAACTGAGAGTTTTGGAGTAAACTTATGCGAGACTACTCTCCTCTCCTCTCCTCTCCTCTCCTCTCCTCTCCTCTCCGATAAGCAAGCAAGCAAGTAACCAACACGTTTTGCTTCCACGCTTTCGAGAGTAAAACGGAACACACACGTTCTTTCCTATGGGGCTACCAAGAAGAAGCAACAGCAAAAGAACAAGAACAAGAACAAGAAAAAGAAAAAGAAAAAGAAAAAGAAGGAAAAGAAGAAGTCAAGTTTTGCTTTTGCATCGTTGAGAATTTCTACTACCACCCCCCTCCCCTCCCCACTCTATTTCTTTGTTCACTTTTCTAACATAAGTCTTGGTACGGTCCGTGAAATAGCAAACGTAGCCTAGCTGACTAAGGAACGAATAACGAATGAGAACACACAACGTCTCCTTGGGTCTTCTATGGTGGGAATATTGAGGAGAAGAAGAAGAAGAAGAAGTGAAGAAGAAGAAGAAAAAAAAAGGATTGGAATGGAATAGAAGGGAAAGGAAAGGAAAGGAAAGGAAGAGTTACAATAATTTACCACGGCCAAAGACATACTTTACCAACCTCGACTCGGTTAGATTCACAACTCCGAACGGTTTCTCATTTTTCTTTTTTTTTATCTCTCTGTCTTTCTCACGAGAGTGTATTTGTGTATGTGTGTTTGTGTGCAAGCGAAAGCGACACGGATTCGATCGAAGAGAGTCGAAGAAGGCTGGCTAATGGGCACGTGCTGCTGTTGCTGCTGCTGTTGCTTCTCTTTTTTAATATTTCTTCTTTTTATTATTATTATTATTATTATTATTTTTTTTTTCCGTGATAATTAATGACGAGTGTGTTTTTATTTCTTTTCTTTTCAAATCCTTCGTATCTTTTTTTCCCTGCGTTTGTGAACGTTGTATTATATTTTTTGTTTCGTTTCGTTTCTTTTTTTTCCTTTTTGCATTTGTGTTACATCCTTTTATCTTTTACTCTTTTTTACTTTTTTTTTTTTTTTTTACTATTTTGTAATTTGTATTACATCTTTTTTTTTTTTTACACAAATCTTTATTTCCTCTGTTTTTATTCATGTTCGAATATTTTTGAAGTTATACTTCTTTTGCCGCGCGTTTTGGAAAGTGAAGTTAGATGCGACCGAAAAATCGACACCACGAAGTTGTCGATGATATTTACGATGCGCGCGCAAATTAAAATTATTTTTGAGGTTATGTAGGTTATATTCGTTTTGATACGCTAAAGAAGTATAACTTCTTACGTGCATATATAAATACAAACATCAGTTTTTTTTTGGTTTATTTCGTTTTTCTTTTCTTCTTCTTCTCGTATTTGTATTAAATCTTTTTCAATAAAAATCTTTTACTATTATTTTTTCCGAGTTAATAATATATTTCAATTAGATGTATTTTAACTTGTTTATCGATTATTAATTTTTGTTCTAAATTTTATATTGTTCAAAATGAATTCTTTTGTTCATAGGAAGAGTAGGAAGAGAAGGAGGGAAGAGGTTGGGGAAGGGGGTTTTCATTGTTCTTATTGTTAATTGAGAATATATATATAAACAATGTAGATACTCAAAAGATTATTATATTCGAATAGTTAACATCCAAGATCTTACCTCCGGCAGTTCATTATATTATCTTTATCTGACTCGTAAAAAGGGTGTAAAAGGGCAGAACGTTAGGATTTTCCTTTATAACCACTTATAACACAACTCGATGTTACATTTAATTTTAATACGGTTAGGAAGATGATCGTCAACGTTTATCTCTTACTCGTCTCGTCTCGTCTCGTCAGATCTTTTATTATCTTTTATCTGTCTGTTCCTTATCATTTTGTATAATTGTCGATTATACTTACGACAGAATGTGTATTACAAAATATAAACTAACACAACAGATCTAAATGTTTCTAATCCTGTTTGATAATAATTCAGGCTTTTTGAAAAGATTTCATTAATCAAGTAATTATTGTTTCTCTCTTTCTATAATATATATAGATATTATATAAAGTATATTATAATATAAT